TCCCCCAAATTTCACCATGTGTAGATCTGGCTGGCTATTGATATCCCACTCTGAATCCCCATTGTATCCCCAATGTGATGTCCCGTGATACGTTACAAATTTGCATGTGATTAGACGTTTACTAAAAGTGTACAGAGGAAGTGTTGGTCATCATCCCAAAGATATTTACAGTTTGATATATACATATTATACATGTTATATATATATGTATATGTATATGTGCTATGTGGTGCATAGATATATAGATAGTTATATATATATATACATCAATGAACATCTTACCAGCAAACTCTAAGGGTTGTTGAATATTGTCTGTCATTGTTTTGCAATTTTATTGTCATTCGGTTTTGTCATTTCTCATTCCTGTTTTGTGGTGTTCATGTTTTGTATTTTTGTTGTTATTTTGTTGTCATGTGTATGTCTTTTGTGTGTGTTGTCATTTTGTCGTCATTGTTTTGTCATGTTTCTTGATTCATGTGTTGTCATTTTTGTTTGTAATGTTCTTGTCGTTTCAGCAAGTGGTTGAATGTCAATGCATTGTGCCAACCAATACCAATGATATGTCAAGGAGGAAATAGGTACTCGATGACACATTTTTTTCTTTAATGTGCACTATCTTTAAAATGCACACGCAGAGATAAAATGAGCTATTGTAGATGAAACCGCTTCTTCATGTCATGATATTCGAGCTATTCTTTGACGTCCTCCGCATTTTCCTGGAAGTTCTTCCAATCCCATATGCTCCAATCCCATACATGGAGCACATGGGATTGATAGTCAGTTGGATTTTTCTCGACATTCAGAAGTAGTCGCTCTTTTCAGTGGCAATTTGTGCTGACCTCTGCGGGTCTTTGCAGTAGGTCAGTAGGAGACCATCTTGTCAAACCACTTGGTGATTTGAGTTGAGGGTCTTAGTGGACAAAGTCATTTCAGCACCCAGATCCAGTCAATTCCAATTGAGCTTGCTTGCGGCCATCTGGATCCGGAGCCGATCTTTTTGTCATCCTTTTGCCATTCCTAATGACACCCCCTGTCACCCGCGTTTTTCTGTTGTTTTCTTTTTTCGGTCATTTGGGTATGGATCAATACCTATATATATGTACATACCACTTTTAGTGGGATGAACATCTATTTACCAGCTATTTTGATGTTCACCAGGGGTACAAGGTTCTGACCCATCCCCATTTGTTTTTTTTGTCATTTCCCAGACTGTTTTTGTCATTTTTTGATTGAAAAAAAATGCATCATCCCAGACTGGGAGTCATTTTTCCCACACCAGGAGTCATAACTTTATGACAGCAACATGGCAGAGAAACGACAAAATATGACACCACCAACATGACAAAATAACTGTTCTATTTTTTTCGTGGTTGCCCAAGATTTTCCTAGATACAAATTATACATATGTATTCTATATAGTATATGTATATTTACATATACATATGTTTATATACATATGTTTATGTATATATATACATATATATGTACATATATATATATATACATATCTATATATATATATACATGTATATATAAATATATATTATATATATGTGTGTATGTGTGTCTTTGGTTGGCAAGCGCCCATGCGTGCCAGCCTGCAGGATGACAAACTGGTGTTACACAAAACTTTGCGACAACAAGGACCTGGAATCAGTGGAAATCAGGGCCAAAATTATGGTTCACGTAACTACTAACTATTCAACTGACTAGTTAGGAAAATGGTTGTTAGGAATATTATGTAATACTAAATATTATATATAATGTTATACTACATTATGGTTGTTAGGAAATTGACCAGTTCGGTTCCAATTGACTAGTTATCGCAACGAATTTGACTAGTGGTTGTATGTTTTGTTAGCTACCAAATTGACATCCTTCCTGCAACTAATTTCCTTTTCCGTCGGGTATCTTGAAATTCACTGGGGAACGGGGTAGCACCAAGTTCTTGACAAAGCACCATTTGAGGAGCTTCGAGAATCCCATTTGGTTGATTTAACCATCATGCATCAGCTTATTAACCATGAAAAATGGTTGTATATACCCTCTGATTATTTAACATAGCCATGGAATAGATGGCCCTAATCGAAATAGATGGTTTACCGTTCTTAATAGCACGGGTGGATCTTTCCATGGCAAACTGTGAATGTCATAGCCAGATGGTAATTTTTTATATGGTTGATGGTGAGTTTTTTTCAATGTACATCAACCATTTTTGATGGTTAATAACCATGGATGGTTATATATATATTCATAACCATATTGGTGTATATGGTTATATATTCCCAATATATATATAATATAATATGGTTATGTACATATATTGGGAACATCCAAAAGACCACATCGACCATCCATGATATCTATGGGAATCCAAACATCGACAAAAAAAAAGAAGACCAAATCTTGGAAACGAGTATCCATCTGGGGCCGGTGGTGACTGGAACATGTTTTATTTTTCCATTCAGTTGGGAAATGTTCCAACCAGACATGGAATAATATGGGAATAATGTTCCATAACATCAGTTTATATTGGGAATAATATGGAATAATTATCCCAAAAATGACGAACTCCATCATTTTTCAGATGGGTGGCTCAACCACCAACCAGACATCTTTGATTTACAGGATCTTGTCAGAATTTTATTGAGGTATAATTGGGATAATAACTGGAATATACCTGGTAATTACTCACACATGGCTACTCACACATGGCTAGCTGGAAAATTCCCTATTCATAGTTCGTTGATTTTCCCAGCTATTAAAGCTTCCATGGCTAGTTTGGGCATTGTGCAGCCACGTTTGATGACACCGGAAGGTAAAGGCTATAGGGAGCCAAGGACCCCAATGCCCAAAAGGACTGCAGAATGATCCTGGAGAAGAAACTACCTTGACCTGCACATACACAGCGACCGACGTGTCTGCTGCATCTTGGTGATTTCGCCACACTTTGCTGTCAAAATCCTGGAACTAAACGGAGGTCTATGGCTGGGAAAATCATCGAACTAAATCGGCCATGTTCAATTGCCAGTTTCATTAATGGAGGGTGACATCATATTGGAATATAATGGGATATATCATATGGGTTTATTGTTAATGGTTGACGCTCATTGTTAATGGTTTCATTTACGGAGGGTTGTCACGTTCATTGTTTTTTTTTTTTTTCTGGTTCATGATGGGTGAACTGTAATAATGGTATCTAAATGGGAATATTTCATATCGGGATATAATTGGATATATAATCAACATTAAACAACTATATGTGATTGTTGGTTTGTTTCCAGATGTCTACAAGTTTGACTTTATATCTTTAGTGTGGTTATTGACACAGATTCACCAATGCAGGAGCATCGAAAATATAATCGTGTGACATATATCTGTGATCAGTTTAAGTTGACTATATATCGACTATATTCCCGTTATCATAATGCGGTGGAAGAATTCCTGCACCACCTGGATGGTTGAAACCCTATAAATAACGGAATAAACCACCTATCAACTGATACAGGATTTCTTCCATCCACCCATGTATACCTTCTGGGACACTACTGTAACATAGCTATGGAAAATGGACCTTTTGCTGTTGTTGTTCCTATTAAACTGGTGATTTTTCCGTTTTTTCTTGGTTTACCAGAGGGTACCATCGTTTGACTATGGCAGATACCCTCTGGTATACTAGCATAGCTATTGAAAATGGCCATTTATAGTGGATTTACCCATTAAAAATGGTGATTTTCCATAGTTAGGTTAGTTTACCAGAGGGTACACCAAGTCGATCCAGACCATCGTTTCAGGCATGGAGTTTCTTGCAGGGCTCGTCCTCTGAGGAAGCTGCACTCGATGCTTGGCCAAAAATTTGTAATGAGGTTGATGATTAAGCAGCATTCATAGAGGTTTTAATCATCAAAATATGGAGATAGTTGTAGAGAATTGTGATTTAAGGAGTATTTATAGGGTTGAGGTGAGAATTGGTTGTAGAAAATGGTGATTGAACTACTGTAACCATAATTCATCAGGTTGTTAACCATCAAACATGATGATATACAATAACTGATACATGATTGTTGCTGTTGATGCTTAATTAGTTAGAGGATATTATGTTATCCAAGATATCAGTGACGACACAATCTCCTTCAACTAAGTCTGTCACATCATTCATGAACTGGGAATCCCGTTTTGAACCAAACAGTATGAATCGTGTTCAATAAACTGGGAATTTAGTTTCGATATTAATATAATCTATTATATATATATATACTCGTTATGTATATATATAATATAACATAGCTCGGCTGCTAAACAATGTATTTTATAGTGTGTATAGTATTATGATATATAAGATACTAGTTAGGCTGTTATGTATCTATCATAAACAGTTGATTCCTTCTTGCAGGGTCATTGTATTGACGCTGCCCTGCCCGACCAGGACGGAGTGACTCACTTGAAACTGGGTAGAGCTTTGGTCGTTTTTTTCTTTAAAGCCTACAGCCAATGATTACCTGGTGACCACTGGTGGTGTGGGTTGATGGTTTGGAAACCAAGAGGTTCTAAGTTATAACAGGATCTTATGATATACCCTCTGGTTATTTAACATAGCCATGGAAAATGGCCCATTTATAGATGGTTTACCTATTAAAAATGGGGATTTTCCATGGCTATGTTAAATAACCAGATGGTATCCATCATAGCTCCGAGTGTTAGTCATAACCTAGTTATTTCATGCTTAAGTTACTCTTCTTTAGTGGGTCCTCTCCTGACAGATACGCACCACTTTCTGTGGGCCCCCCAAAGATGGGTAAGTTGTTGTTTTATCACTTGGACTCCTGTGGTTTCCGGAAGATATATCGAACTAGTTGGCTGGTTGAAACCCTATAAATAATGGGATAATCCACCTATTGACTGGTGCAGGATTTCTTCCATCCACAATAGTTTGCTAAAAATAAACCAATAAACACCAATAGTTGTGGGACGGCATTGATGAATATTGATGTCTCAAGCAGGAAAGGTCTGACAAAACTGGAGCAACTGGAGAACTTGCCATTGAGTCTCGAAAGTTTGACCTTGGCTGGTCGCTTCAACTCTTCGCTGGAAGGCGTGACTTGGCGGACGCCAGGCGATGACGGGCCGTAAAGTGAGCCTACAAAACATGGGGGGTTTCATGTCAGCAACATGGGAAATTTCATACAAAAATTGGGATATAGCTGATAGAACTGGGGAAACCAACTGAAAGGATAGTTCAATACAACTTCATCGGTTTGTAGCTGGAGATATATCCACCATTATCCACCTAACCAACTATTGTCAGCTATTCACATATTTTTGCAGGGCATCTAAGATTGGCCATGCAAAGCCACAGTTTGAGCCACTGCAAGGCTACAACCTGATACCAACTGGATGCTGCTTCACATATGTGTTCCATCAGTTTTGCCCGCGATGCGGAACACTGAATCCAGTTGACGATAATATGTACGTGCAATACAATACTGGTTGGAGGTTTCAAACATTTTTATACATTTTTTATTTTCCATAATATATGGGATTGTCCTTCCCATTGACTAATATTTTTCAAGATGGTTAAAACCACAACCAGATATGTGTGTGTGTGTCAGGGTGGAGAGAGATTGACCCAGGTGATTCTGCCGAAGAATCTTCGCAGCTTGACTTTTGGCGATGGATTTAATCAGAGCTTGGATCAGATTTCATGGCCGCAAGAACTCGAACACTTGACCTTTGGTGACCGATTCAACCAGAGCCTGGAGCATGTGACGTTGCCTCCCAAGCTTCAAAGTTTGACGTTCGGCTACGAGTTCAGTTGGAGCCTTCAGGGGGTTCACTTGCCTTCGTCTCTGCAAGACCTGACCTTCGGTGGGAGGACGGAAATTGCTGGCATGTTTTTTGGGGGGCGGGGCCCCATGGAGAGCATGAACATATGAAAGACAAAGTCATTTTAGCGCAATTGGTGTTCTACCCTCTGGTAAACTAACCTAACTATGGAAAATCACCATTTTAATGGGAAAACTCACTATAAATGGCCATTTTTTAATAGCTAGGTTAGTTTACCAGAGGGTAATTGCAAGATATTAAAACACTAACTATGGTTGCTGAAGCCAATGAACAAACCTGACCAGATCCACAGGAATGTTTCGACCAGGAGCGTTTCTTTTCAAGGTAAACACCATATGGGTATGGATCAATACCTATTAATACCATTTTTAGTGGGATGAACATCCATTTACCAGCTATTTTGATGTTCACCAGGTACCAGGGTTTTGACCCATCCCCATATAATACATAAAGGGTGTATCAATGCAGGGGTGACAGACTATGACTATACAAGCTGGTACCCCACAAGTTGGTTTATAAACCCCATTGACTACAGATATATCTGCCGTTAATCCCAGTTAGCTCACTTTTAAACTAGCTTAGTTAACTAAATATGGGGCACGACCATGTATGATTTAAAGTTTATGATAGAATGATGACATAAAGCTGTTGGGTTGACCCCTGCCAGGTACAACATGAGTTTGGAGTTTGTGAACTTGCCTAGTAGCCTTCAAAGCTTGACTTTTGGCGAAGACTTCAACCAAAGTATCCAGCCTGTGACTTTGCCAAGCAGTCTACGGAGTTTGTCTCTGGGTGACGCTTTCAACCAGAGTCTGGAGGATGTTGTGCTGCCAGATTCTCTTCAATTCTTGACCTTCGGCTCCGTGTTCCTTGCTTTGATTCGAACGGTGAAATTTCCACTGGATCAATAGCAATGTCAGGATCCTAAAATGCAGGTACTGTACTATATAAGGGCATATTTTCTAGGGATATTCCCTTACATAGGCCTTATACAGGCCTTATATATGGCTATTGACTGGAAGGAATGGATGTGAGAAATTCATGAGAAAATGGCTTTGTAGAAGGAGAAGCCGTGACAAGCCAGGATAAGGTCAGAGGGTCAGAATATGTTCTGCATAGCCCGGCTGGATCTAACCTGACATGCTGGAAAATCACACGATTTCCAGCCAGGTTTCTTCGAACATGTATGGCCATTTTGCACCATTTTTGATGGGGAAACATGATGAACCATGATGACCGGTTGGTGGTTTGGAACATGAATGGATTATTTTCCCCTTCCTGGGATGATGATCCACATGATCCAATCCGACTAATATTTTTCAGGGGGGTTGGTTGAAACCACGAATTAGATGATATCGGGAAACTCTGTCTTCATAGAAAGTCATTTGCAGATGTAGTCTATGATTAGATAACATCGGGCATTTGATAACATCATATTTGATCAGTCATTTTCATATAACTACCCCAATTAGATCATACTAGTTCCATCCTTTTGTATCTAGTGATCAGTTCCCCTGCCATATTTGATTCCAGCTATGCGAGCCCGCTGAACTCAAAACTGGTTCAATATGTCAATATGTATTAGAATGTGGTATAGTAACCGCAAAACGATAGACACCGTAACTTACCATTATTTAAGTAGGTGTGAACTTCTATTTTGGGGGTTGCTGTAGTATTCTTTTGGGTCTAGTTATTTTGGAGCCTCAATCCTAGGGAGCCTGAGTCAAACAATAAACCCTGAGTAAACCTCTGGGGGTTAGACCAGACAAGTGATCTCATTTTGCTATACCCCATGACGGATCCATGGTGCTGCTATATATGGTGTGCCATGGATCCCATCAATATACCCCATTCATGTTAGCATTTTTCTACCAGCACCATGGATCCGTCATGGGTACTAAGATTGCACCCCTGCAATTAAACAGCTCAGAGTGGGTGTTATATGAAGTTATAGTTCAGCGGAGAGCAGGCTGTCAGTCTGCTGCCATCCAGCAAATGCTGGGAATTGATGAAGTGGAATTCTTCGTTCTATTCCCATGTTTGATGACTGGTTGACTGGTTGGTGGTTTCAATGGGAGGTCTCCAGGATCCTAAAATGGAGGTACGTTAGTACCATATTTCAGGCCATATTTTGTGGTGATATGGTGATATTCACTTACATAGGCCTTATATAGGCCTTATATATGGTAGGTACCTCCATTTTAGGATCCTGAAATTCCCATTGATGGTTTGGAACATTTTTTACTTTTCCATATATTGGGAATAATAATCCCAACTGACTTTCACATTTTTCAGAGGGGTTGAAAAACCACCAACCAGATGAGTAATGTCCCCCATGTTTCTATTGTATATTTTTTTTCAGCCCACGAACCATCAATGGATCCAGCCGGAATCTGATGTTTTCAGTTGGAGCATGGATGGTAAGTGGGTTCTCTGCTTTAAGATAGACACAAACACGTACAGGGTTGCTCAGACCTTATTTATATATATATATATAGGTAAATGATTTTCACAAGGGTGGTCAATTTGTGATCAGGGTTATACTACGAGGTGGTGCCCCGTAGTTAAGCCAAGTTGAATTATAAGTAGATTGACTAGGGTTTACGGCAGATATATTGATAGTTACCCATATGCTCCATGTATGGAATATTTACCTACATTTCCCCCCAAAATGGCCCAAATGTAGGTAAAAATTCCATACATGGAGCATATGGGTTAATTATAGTTCATTAGTTCATTGTGTTTATAACCCAAATTATAACTGGGGCGCACCACATATAGTATCCTTTTAATTGTTGGGGCCCCAGCATGATCCATGAATCAAACGAATCAAACTGGGAATCCCTGTCAAGACCATCCTCCTTGGAACTTGGGGATGTTCCCTCATAGGTTTGAGTTCCACTAAACCAATAGGGATACCCTCTGGTAAACTAACATAGCTATTGAAATTGCCATTTATAGTGGTTTTCCCATTAAAAATTGTGATTTTCATAGTTACGTTAGTTTACCAGAGGGTAAGCCCATTTTATGGCCTTTGATGCTCTTTTGATGTTGCTGAACGCACCATTTTCATCAGTGCGTTCGTTTCATAACCTGTTTTTCTAGGGTAATGAGGTAAACCCGATAATGAACTATCCCCAAAATCGGTAGGTTTATTATGGGGTTGCCCGGTTGCCCACATTGCATTATCAATACCCCCGTCCGGCGTACAAAAATAAAATGAGGGGGCAGGAGCCCCTTTTAAAATAAAAAAACAAAAATAAAATGAAAATAAAATGGGTCAGACCCCAGCATTTTATTTTGTGGGTGCATTTTGTTTTTTGAGGTGCCTAACCCATCAAGTTAATTGACAGAGATAGCATGATAGCAAAGATGCACAGCTGTGAACGGTCTGATCATTTTGTGAACATTCCAGAGATTTGGAATTACTTGGACATTAACTTCGAAAATGGGTTGGCCCCCCTCATTTTCTATTGCCTTCCTTGGTCAACAAAAGACACACGGGCAGCTTACAGCAGCCAATGAGATTTCTTAAGTTTATTTATAGTTATTTGTATCTTTTCTAGAAACCGTCCAGATGTCAGAAGTGGAACCAATTATATATATATATACATATTATATTGATCGAAATCCGCGCAATTTTTCCTTCCTGTTGGCACGTGAAAAGGCTAAACAAGACTAAACAACACTAAAAAAGATCAACCAATCAAATAAGGAAACAATGTAAAGGACTAAACAAGACTAAACAAGACTAAACATGGTTAAAACCAATCAAAGAAGGAAACAAGACAAAACAAGATCAACCCAAAAGAAAATGCCGGAACCCGAGGTCCAACAGTTGCATAACGTAGGTCCAACAGTGGCCAGGTGGAGGGTGCCTGACGTCATTTTCTTTTTGTACCTGTCCATTGTATTTTGCTTGGGTTTTCCTATCTTAGCTTATGCCCTCTCATTTTATTGGCATTTTGTCCTTAGGCCCCTGCATTTTATTTTATTTTTTTAGGGGTTCCACCCCCCCCTGGCAACAGACGAGGGTTATCAATCACATTTCATTTTTGATGTTTTTTTTGTTACTTGGACGTCACTTGGATCCAAGGTTCTCTTCCAGCCACCACTTGTCTATGACCTTCCCTGCAACTCTCCAGTCCCTGACCTTCAGCGATGACTTCAACGAGCCCTTGAGACACCTCGACCTACCGAACCTGGAGACCTTGTCGCTCGGGGCAGCCTTTAACCAGAGCCTGGAAGATGTGTCTCCACGTGTTTTTTTATCGTGTTTTTTTGTTTGTGTTGTCATGTTTTTTTTACGGCTCATCAAGAATTGAGAGTTAACCATCAATAAGTGGGATTTATATATAACCTGTAAAAAGTAGGATTTAACAAATAGAATACTGGATCAAGTTTCGTCTAGCAACGGGGGATACCCAAACATGTTCTTAATAGTAAAGAAGATGATAAACCATCCAAATTTAAATTCGGGCTACCTTGTTTTCAGACAAACACATACTTGTATGGACTTTGGTATCAACAAAGGATTTGTTTCCTTTCTTTCACTGTCAAGTCTCATCAACCGTTGTTTATTTGTGTATGCAAACGCTCCATCGCTTGAACTAGGAGGTCCGAAAAGCAACCAGGTACGATGGCCAAGCAAGCTGAAGAGTTTGAGTTTGGGTCGACATTTCGACCAGAGCCTGGAGCATGTGACGTTTCCAAGCACTCTTCAATTGCTGGACGTTGCTGGATGGATCGATAGATTTGTTGTGGACTGGGTGATGGGAAAATTGCTATTTGATAAGAATGGGGAAGACTCCTTAAAATTATGTGGCTGGATTGGGTTTGCATAAACAACTATAGATCTGTGTTGAAGTTGGTTGACTTTTTGGGCTGAGATGGGTAAACACCGTATTCACAGTATCCCCTGCCTGTTGAGTCATAGTTATATAAACAAACTTAGCAGGGAGTCAACTTTTAGCACTAAGGTTGGCATGATGTTCAATCGCAGTTTGGATGCGGTGGATTTGCCGAACCTCCACAGTTTGACGTTAGGCAACAGTTTCAATCAGAGCCTGGAACACGTCGCGGATCGCGTCATCAATTTGCAATGCTTATCGTTTCTGGGTGGATTCAATGCTGTTTTCTTACCCATAGGATCCATGGTGCTGGTATATATGCTAACATGACTGGGGTATATTGATGGGATCCATGTTACCATATATATATATAGCATACATGGATCCTATGGGTTATGTCTTCTTTAATGGTGCTCCATTGGTTGTGTTAATTGTGTCCTAAGTTTGGGGTTTCAAAAAAATGATGATCTCCATACAGTTTTCCTGCTTAGACAAATGTACCAACCTGGAGCATATGGGAATGTTTTGTACGGATGGAGCAAATAACCACAGGAATTGTGGACAGTCCACTTAAGGCGAAATCGTGGTAAAAGACCACGACTTATCAACTACGACTGGAAGCGCAGGCTGCCAGTCGTAAGTCGGCATAGTTACCCTCTGGTAAACTGTCCCATAACTATGGAAAATCACCATGTTCAATGGGAAAATCCACTATTTCTATGGAAAATCCACTATAAAAAATGGAACATCACCATGTTCAATGGGAAAATCCACTATTTCTATGGTCATTTTCAATAGCTATTTTGACATAACCAGAGGGTATAGGGGCCCAACTGATCCCCAACTGGGGGGTTAACTCACCACGTTTTAAATTCACCATTTGTAACCGAAAAGTTCTGCAGCCCCAACTAGGTGGAGGCTGGCTGACCACAGATTTTTTTTTTCCGGACACCACATGGTAGATATACTGACGATGGGATTATAAGCAATTGTAGACCTATATATAAACCGACAAACATAAGTGACTGGGGGGCTAGATCTATAGTTTGTGGGATAGATATATTATGATATATTGATAAAGTTCAAATTTAGTTGTTAGATTACTTGACACCACCAGTGGCCTTCTAGACCACTTTTTTTTAGGCTTGGTGGAGGCTTTAGCCACAGTTTGGAGCATCTGAAGTTTCCCAATCTGCGATCCCTGACCTTTGTGGACAGCTTCAACCGCGACGTCAGTGGCACCTGGCCCAGCACGCTCCGAAGGGTGACCTTTGGAAGGGACTTTAACCAGACCTTGGAGCGGATCAGGTGGCCTCTTCTGGAATCCTTGCGGTGTCTGGGTGCGGTTTTTTTTGGGCCCCCAAGCGATACCCTCTGGTAAACTAACATAGCTACTGAAAATGGCCATTTATAGTGAGTTTTCCCATTAAAAATGGTGATTTTCCATAGTTATGTTAGTTTACCAGAGGGTAGTTCACTTGTTTTTTTTGACTCGAATTTCAGGATGGTACTGAAATAACATCTTGCAACTACCCATGACGGATCCATAGGTGCTGGTAGAAAAATGCTAACATGAATGGGGTATATTGATGGGATCCATGTTGCCATATATAGCAGCACCATGGATCCTATGGGCTATAGTATTCATGGGGGTTGTAAAGAAAAAACATAACTGGGGGGCCCCACATTGTGGAACTTCCCTGAGCCGTTACCACCAAATTCGTACATGAGGCGCAATTAGCGATACCCCTAGCGATACCTTAGCGGTGCCATACGATACCCGTTTGTTCAAAATAACCCCAGACCACAGACCCTGTCCTCCGCCTTTCCTCTTCCGGAATGAGAGACGGTGCTTCCTCTTCCTTACTCTTTCTTTCCTTTTCCTTTCCTTTTTCTTTCTTTGTCCTTTCCTCTTCCTTTCCTCTTCCATTCCTTTTCCTTTCTTCTTCCTTTCGTTTCCTTTTCTTTTCCTTTCCTCTTACTTTCCTCTTCTGTTCCTTTTCCTTTCTCCTTCCTTTCCTTTCCTTTCTTTTTCTTTTTCTTTTCCGTTCCTTTTCCTTTCCTCTTTCTTACAAAACTACAAAACCATGGGTAGCAATAGGCCCCCCCCAAAGCGATACCCTTTTTGGGGAGCTTAGCAAAGACAATGAGTTTTGATTACTGCTCACATGTTTTCATGCTTATGGATACTTTGAGGGTCAAGGTAGATGTTCGGTGCTTATGTTTTTCAGTTTTTTTTTGGATGGGATGTTTTTTTTTCTTTCCCCAACTAAGGTTCCTGGAATTTCTTTGATTTGGGCAGGGTATCAGCAACACTGAGGTTTGGAGATGAGTTCAATCAGAGCTTGGCTCGCGTGCAGCTGCCGAGCAGCCTTCGCAGTCTGGTCTTCGGTCGACGGTTCGATCAGAGTTTGGAACAGGCTGAGCAGTTTATCAGTTTCAAAATACCCTCTGGTAATTCAACATATATAACATTATATAACTATTGAAAATTGCCATTTATAGTGAGTTTTCCCATTAAAAAAGGTGATTTTCCCATTAAAAATGGTGGATTTACCCATTAAAGATATGAGAAACGATCCAGTTGGTTGATTGGCGTAGAAGGGGGCCCATGCTGCCGTGAACCATTTTTAGGGGGATGGTCATGATTTTCCATGATGTTTCATGATATTTCATGGTGATTTATATGGATTTTATACATATATGTAAAATAAGGAATTCCATTTTGTGACGGATGACCATAAACCACGTTTGACCATAGCACATAAACTACCATGCTTAGGTTGTAGATGATCGCCCCACTAAGCCACCACTCTTCAGGTCAGTTTGCCGGAAGATCTGACGAATTTGACCTTCGGAAGCCTTTTCAATCAGAGTTTGGAGAACGTTTCATTGCCCTCTGGCCTTGAATGCTTGACATTTGGTGATCGCTTCAACCACGACCTGGAGTACGTGACTCGGTACCAGGAATATCAGGCTGGGTAAATTATACCCATGGTGCACCTTACAACTCAGGACAGGTGATTGGCAATGGGGGGTAATCGTCGGTGTATTTCTATATTTCTGAGAGTGGCTCACATTATTGAACCATATATCTCAAAACTACACTGGTTGGTGGTTTGGAACATGTTTTTTTTCCATATATTGGGAATAACAACCCCAACTGACTTTCATATTGTTCAGAGGGGTAGGTCAACTACCAGTACAGCTATTTGTGGCGCCCCAATGACTGGAACCGTTCACTTGGGTCTGAACTTTTGGGGGAATCCCTCCAAATCCCCAGGGTTTATCATACCTTAGGGTGAACTTGCTCGATGTGGAAACCCAGTTTTCCCTAGGACAATTATCTACAATGGAGAGTTTTAAAGCTTTTTTTTGTATGTTTAAAGGAGGGTAAGTTTCCATGTTTAGATTCATAGAAATCCATCCATGTGCCCCCCCGAAAGTTCATTACCTCACCAAAGGTTAGGCGGAAAACAAGAAGGTCCTATCGTTGGGGGTTACCATTGGGGGTCACCGTCAAATGTTCCACTTTTAATTCCCGTTTTTTTTGTCTTATATAGACATATACATATATATATATGTATATATGGGGATATAAGTTGATATAAGTTATTTGACAATAACATGTCCACTGGATATATCGGTTACATCTCCAGTGTGTTTTCTGTTCTTTCCATGTTTTTTTTTGTTTAAGGGATCCTAGCTGCTTCCATGTAATCTCCTACAAGGTGGTGATCACCCCTCTGGTAAACATACAAAAAACTATGGAACATCACCATGCTATTAGAGGGTAAATCAACTATTTCAATGGCCACGTTCAATAGCAAAATGTTAGTTTGCCATAGTTTACCAATGTTTACCAAAGGTGGGAAAACTCACCAGAAATGGTGATGTTCCATACTTATGTTAAATTACCAAAGGGTAATTATTTATGTTCTATTACCTGCACCCGTAAAACAAGTATATAAAAGCTTGGTTGTTTGATCTTTCCCCTGAATAATCAAAATTAATTCAATGTTTTGACACTTCTGATGATCATTCCCGTTTATATCCGTTAAGACTTTTTTTTATAACAATATTGGGTGAATAATCATGGTGATATATTGTTATGTAACGATTTGCACCATGATTTTTCTTATAACAAGATTAATCGTTACATTTCCGTACACATCCATGCATATCCATGCACATCCATGCATATCCATCAATATCAACTGCAATTTATATATATAATATGTATTGGAACATATATGAAGAGTTCCCAATAATAATATATAAAATAATAGTACTCATTATATAATTATCATCTTTAGCCACTAGCCACGGTCAAGATTCGCCTTTATTCCCTGGCGTCGGCGCTCGCTTTAGGTGACCTTGCCAAGTCATTTGCGAAACTTGACGTTTGGGATGCTCGACTGCTCGACGTGATGTTTGGGGAGGTTTCTGCTAAATATATTGACTGAATTTGACATAGTCCATGGGGTTGACATGAATCCCTACAGATTTGTTTGTAAGCTGATAAATAGATTGCTTGTTGTTGGGGTAGATCGGTCGTGTAGTTTTTTTTTTTTTTTCGGTCGTTGATCTCCGTTGTTTTTGTCGCCTCGATCAGTTGTGGTTGCACAGGGGGTGCGTATCTCTAGCTCTGGACCGGTAGGACCAGTAGTCCCGTTGAAAACATCAAAGGTGCTGCAGCAATGGGGACACGATCATCCTCAAAATGTTGGGGGCACGAAGATTTAGCGTGTTGAAATAAGTGTTTGTAAGCTCATTTATCTACGTCAGTGTATATATATAATATTATATAATTAGTTACATATACATATATTTATACATATGTATGTATTAGATACACATGCATATATACATATAAACCACAAGTGGGAAACCTATAGTTATACGACGACTTACTTATCAGGGGGCTCCACATTGCAGCTATGATGTCATATGTTTTGACCCGCCCCCAAAAGAGGGGTATAGAAGGCATGTGATATTGATGGGATGTCAAAAACTTATAGTTGCTTTTCTCAATCTTCATGGCAGTATCTGGTACTTAAGAAAGGTAAGGTGTTTTTAGTAACTGTTTAGTTGCGGGCCGCCACCAGAATCATGAAAATCGGCAGCGGATTGGGTGAGGTTCGCGGTAGGTTTTTGTTTAGAACCAACACATCATGTTCTCACTAGGATGCAGCATGTCTTTGAAGGTGTCTTTGTAATTTTGCAGCATTTGGCTGCCAGCCTTTTTATTTTTTATTTTTCTTGCATCATAGACCGCTGGTGCCTCTATGTGCAATTTAGGGGCGTGACTATATACGGAGGAATGTCCGAATGATCTACGCTTATTTGTTTGCAGTCTACAAAACCGTAAAGCACCCAAGGAAAGCACATGACATATTGCGATCTTTGTGTTCGCGCTCAATTATTTACAGATCCGGAGCTGGAATTTCTCCGAATAAGATAGAACTGTTTGCAGTACGTAAGTACATAGGCTGGCGCAGAAATTAGGTTCAGGGGACAGAGGCCATGATGTGCTGATTTTTGAACTATGATACACATAGGATCCATGGTGCTGGTATATACGCTAACATTTGGGGTATATTGATGGGATCCATGTTACCATATATAGCATACATGGATCCTATGGGTTACAATGGTTGCAGTGGTCACCTGGTCGGTCACCTCACCCACAACTGCTGGATGTAGTGTGGTGTAGTGCAGCTATAGTTGTAATTGTAGTTGTGGTGTGGTGTAATTAGTGTAATGTAGTCGCAGTTGCATTTGTAGTGGTGTAATGAGTGTAGTGTATTGTAATGTAGGGTAGTGTAGGGTGTGTAGTGTAGTGTAAAGTAGCGTAGTTGTAGCTGTAGTTGTAGTTAGTGTAGTGTAGTAAGTATTGAAAACTGCAATCCTTTGTGCGCGTGAGCTGACCAAAAATATTTCCAGAGATAAGGGGTGCATACTTATTTTATTCATGGTTAATATGGTTAAAACGTGGAAAAGGGAAGCAGTGAGGTGATTTGTGTGATCGCATAGATATGCAACGCTCCGGAGAAAATCTGAAATCAGGGTCATAGACCTCTTGTTGGTCCAACCCAGCTAAGTGGTGGCCAAGACCAAATTGCGCAGTTCACCTGATAAAAATGAATCTTTGACAGGTATCCCGTTTGCTGATTTTGTGGCGGTGTCAGAGCACAATCGGTGCAAATGTTTGTTTAATGAAGGCCTGTTTCATTTTCTACATGTTTTCATTCTATACTGGAAAATGCTGAAAATGCTGGCAACCTGGTAATGCCCATAACATGTCTGTAAATTTCCGGATTCACACCCTTGAGATAAGACACGCGTTTTCTCTTACCTTTGTTAGAACTTTTGATTTGACAAGAATGGATACCGGTACATGAATGGTATCGAACATAACTTTACCCTTTTGGTTAGTTGGTTTCTTTCAACCACCAGATTTACAAAAATAGAGGACGCATATTCAGCTGGAGTACAACTTGTCCGAACTGACCGTGCGTTTCGTGAATTTGAACAAACAAACCATATCTGGCAACCAATACCAGCTGAAATCCCTTTGAGGCACCACCAATACGGATGGATTAATCCCAATAACCCAGGTATACGGTTGAGGATCATGTGATGGGGATTGATATATTTCACAAACAGTCTGTCCGGATCCAAGCACCTCCTCGGAAGGTACTAGGGAATGGTTGAAACCAGACGAAACATGACCAAGGATGCACTTCACTCGGAGTTTGGAAGGCGTCACTTTCCCCACGAATCTTGAGAGTTTTTGCTGTGGCCGGCAGTACCCAGAGAGTTTGCGACAGGCATTGGGGTTGGTTGAAACAAACGAGTGGGCAGTTTCTTTGTTTGGAACAAAATTGCATTTAATACCTGCAAATTGATTTGATAAACTAGTGGGAAGATAATGAAGCAAGGGTCAAAACATAAGGTAATTCAATCGGGTGTTCTGGTTGACTGCATGTCTGGGGGTTGTCCTTTCCATGAGATGTTTTGCGGGAAAACACCCAGCAGGAACCTGAAATACCTGAACGTCCTGATTCACAAATCGTCAACTACCGAAGTTGTCTTTGAAAGTAGTGTAGAATATATTACAACCAACCTCCAACTGGTGAAAAAATGTACCATTGAATTCTGGTGATATTGGAGATTGCTGCGGTTTCCACGTTACTGGTTTTTGATATTTTAACATATTCCGGAGTATTTCAAAATATATATATATATTTTTATAATGCATAGACTTAGGTTTATAGTAAGGATTCGGACACTGACTTGATCCACTCACGTGTAGGCAATTCCCTGGTGAGACATCTCCAATAGACACAACTTGCAGCCCAGCCATGTCAGGTGCTTTTCCCCGGCTCTTTGCGTAGCGTAGAGTGCCAGGGTTTGATGGTTGCAGTGAGCCCTGATGAAAAAGGTGAGTGGGACATCAGGATTTCGACCTACCAAGAAAAACATATGTCAACATGGAGGACATAGTCAACTTCCAAGTGACAAAGTGAAATTGACCGGTTGTTTGTTCCCCATTCCCCTTGTTTTCACAGAAGAAAATAGATGAGCAAATCCCACAAAAGCATATATCCAATACAACCGAATGGAGTACAATTATTTGTGGGACCCGGTTTTCTCAGGTAGTTTTATATAATTATTCACGAAGCGCGGTCCCACCCTGTTTCTCTCTTCGAATTGGATGAAAGGAACATCTAGAGAAAACTCTTAGGACCTTGGGATTTGAAGGTAAACACCATGCGTTTAAGCTTAGATTTCCCCAGAAACAAATCCATTTACTTTTTGACTAGCTATTGCAAGCAACAAGAATGGGATCATCATTCACATGTTCGATAATTTGTTGATAAATGATATCTCAACCATAACAATAGGGGTATTTAATCACAACTGTGGGACATAAGCTAGAAATGATGGGTATGGTTTGGGTCACCTATATACCCGGAGGATTGTTTGGAGATTATATGTTGGCGCACTTTGGAAACCCCTGTTACATTGTTCACCAAGCTGTAAAAAGGGATATGCCGCATAACTCAGTGAATGGATGTTTTTCTGTTTGGTAAATGTTGGTGCAGTTCCAGTTACAAGCGAGTATATATTGCTGTAGCTGGTTGGTGGTTTCAATCATTTTTTATTGTCCATTTCATATTATATGGGATGTCATCCTTCCCATTGACTTTCTTATTTTTCAAGATGGTTAAAACCACCAACCAGATTATCATCCCATTATTTACCACTATTAAGCCACTATTAACCATAGTTACAATGTGAGGCCCCCAAGATAGCTAAGTTGGTTTATAACTCCAATAACTATGGTTTATGAAATTTATAACTATAGTTACCGGAGCTTATAAACCAACTTATAACTGGGGGGCCTCACATTGTAGCCATATCCCCATATCCCAATTATCCACACTTAAACAGTGCTTCCCCTAGTTCCCAAATAGCAATTTCTGGCACCTCTTAGTGGAACATGTCGTTGTGGGAGCGTTGTGGGAGCGTTGTGGGATGATGGGAAGCAACAAAGAACCAACGAGAGCTGAGATGGGCTGAGGATATTTCAGGAACTGCCATGATACCCTCTGGTTATTTAACATAGCCATGGAACATGGCCCATTTATAGATGATTTTCCCATTAAAACCTCCATTTATTAGGGATTTTCCATGGCTATGTTAAATAATCAGATGGTATTCATATTTTGTTCGGGCCGGTGAATAGATGCAATGATTCACACCCTGTGGTCAGGATACTCATGGATCCACAAGTTTGCCTTATGCCCTTGAACCATCCAAATTAGCCTCTGGTCATTTAAGATATTTAAGAGTTGGCTATTGAAACCATGGCCCATTTAGTTTCGATATGTTTCGATGATCTACAAAAAAAACGCGTATAAATACGTGTTACCATAGCTATATTGGATTACAACATGGTAGAGTGAATCATGTTCATCAATGCCCAGCTGTACCCTCTGGTAAACTAACATAGCTATGGAAAATCACAATTTTTAATGGGAAAACTCACTATAAATTGCCATTTTCAATAGTTATGTTAGTTTACCAGAGGGTAAATCAGATAATGAAACGGTTCTTATCGAAACTCATTTTGCCTGGACAACCCAAAGGTCGGATACTCGCTGTGATTGCTGACTCCTTCGCATTTTCAACAATGACATTCTGTTGCATAGCCAATATTGTTGTTTCCACTGCTGGATATGTCATTCATGATATTTCATTTGTACATATTTTGGAACACATGCTGTAAAACCTATGTACGTATGATTGTGTTCCGCACATGTTCCTTTGAAGTAAATTCAGCGACACAAGGAGCCATCAAAACACCAAACAACTTGTTGATTGGTTGTTCTGGTGGGTTATGAACCTACCTGTTTTGTTGGCGATCATGAATTTGGTTCTTGTTTGCACATGCATCTGAACCAAACTGTATGGATCGTTGGATGTTTGGATAACTGTTGAACACTACCCTCTGGTAAACTAACATAGCTATGGAAAATCACTATTTTTTATGGGAAAATCCACTACATATGGCAATTTTCAATAGCTATTCTGACATTACCAGAGGGTACCACTGCTAGTCGCCAACCTCGACTCCCGGAACAAGAGTAGTGGCCCAAGCCCATCAACGCGAACGCCGCTATAGTAGAGCCATTGAGATATATTGAGAATAAGCTACCCTCTGGTTATGTCAAAATAGCTATTGAAAATGACCATTAATAGTGGATTTTCCCATTAAAAATGGTGATTTTCAATAGCTATTTTGACATAACCAGAGGGTAGATCGCAATCTACTAAGGTTTCCCTGACCGTCTATCGCAAAAGGCATCAAAACATAAACTGAAGTTCCATTGGTGTTTGCAGCTCAGGTGAACGATGAATATGCCTAGTTTCTTCAAGGTGGCACTCTATTTTGACCGAGTCTTCTAAGGCATATACGGTAGAAATATGTTTTTTGAAATTCATTTCTCATCATGTCTATGATTCTCTATGAGCTGGCCTTGGAGCCGTTCATGGCTAGCCAAGTCCTCCTACTGTGCTCTGCCAGGTAACCTGCATGGTTTTTGGTTTGCAATTGGTGAAGACCTATTTCACCAAAGCAATGTGCACCTCTCCCGCTACAGGACTCGCGGAAATGTGAGGATTTCTGGTTTTGGAAACTGGGTGACTGGTAGTTTGGTACTCTCATACCTTCCAGGCAATCGATTGAAACTGTTGTAAGAATGAATTTGAATACCCTCTGGTTATTTAACATAGCCATGGGAAATTGCCCATTTATAGATGGTTTACCTATTAAAAATGGTCATTTTCCATGGCTATGTTAAATAACCAGATGGTAGATGGCAGCCAGCGGGGGAGTTGGTTCTCATTTTGACCCAGCCAACTCGTTGTCCTGGTTGTCATTGAGGATGGTCATCGATAGTCAAGGTTGGACCCAATAGCTGCTTTGTGCTTCATCCCATGATTCGTATATAACCCTCTGGTTATGTCAAAATAGCTATTGAAAATGGCCATTTATAGTGGATTTACCCATTAAAAATGGTGATTTTCCATAGCTACGTTAGTTTACCAGAGGGTAGGTTACAAGCCTGTTTATATTGCAGAACGGCCCTCATGGGGGAGTGATTTTTGGACTAAAAATGCTGAAACAATATTGTTATTTACAATGTTTTGTGACAAGACCCGTTATTTTAGAGCAAAACATAGGGTTCACCTCCAAAGGCTCTCATATGCTACTACAAGCAATCAACACATAAGAGAAAACGCCTGCTGCAGAACATGCCACAAGAACGGGGATCTGTGCATCTTGGAACGGAATATACAGTAGCAATAGGTGGCTAGTGTGATAGAGGTGATGGATAAATTCTAGTGCTAGAAGCCATTGATATGATTTAGCTGTTTCTTCATGAACTTGTTAGATTGATACCATCTCAACATACATTGTATATAGAAACATGTGCGCTTGCAACAGTTCATTGACAGTATATAAAGGTGGAGGTGTGCATAAGGATATACATAAGAAATAAGTGGGAAGGGCATACATTATGTAGGTGGATATGCACAAGCACATCTATCTGGATAAGAAGGATGGTGGGAATGTTACAACTCAAGAGATAGGTACATATCTTGTTTATCATTATTATCTTGCAGAGTCCTGTCAGCAAGCTCATTTCAATAATTTTAATTAGAGAGAGAGAGAGAGCCAGACAGACAGAGAAGTGTATCATGCTGTTGCCTATGAAGATCAGGCCACCTGTGTGGTGGCATAGCTATTCAAAGATAACGGTATGTTTGCTTATTTTAAACATCAAATTAAAATATGACCAAGATCTAAACATGCATAATCTAGCCTGCACCCAAGGGGCAGTTGCAGTCACTATTGTCAAACATAACATAACTATCAACAAACTCTTTGCATATCAAATTTATCAACAAATGAAGCAATGCTTATCACTGACAAAGTTGGAGACATTTCCTGTTTGCAATCCTGTATCTTGTCTTGTAGAGCCTTGTTGGCAGATTCATTGTAAGCTGTACTCATTATTGAATTGTTTTTGAAATCCAAACATGTATGATCTAGCCTGCAGTCAAGAGGCAGCTGCAATTGAAATTCCTCAAGCCAATATTAGCATTAGATGAAGTAACAGTGATAGAAGGTTTGATGAAATGTTGGCTTTGTTTCTTGATTGTTTTTGCTGCCTCTCAATGTTTTGTGAGGTCAGAGTCACCAAACCTGCACAGGGCCCCCAAAGAAAACACCAAACCACTGGATACATCGAATAGTTGCTAGTTTTTTTTTGTGCCTGTGCAGGTTTGGGGCATCTAGTGTTTTTTTTGGTGCCTGTCAATGTTTTTGTATGTCTCATGTCAAGATCATGATAAAAACACGTGTTACTATAGGGTTTCAGTCGTTCCAAGTGCATAAAACATCGGTATTTATATACAGTTTTTCATGATGAGTTTTAATGAAACATCACTCCCCCGCCGGGGTGCCGCTCATATTTGGGCTAAGTAGGGTTAGTCCATGTTAGTCCACTTATGCTAAGCTGGGTTCAGGAGGAAGTATCGTGAACAGTCCAACATTTGTACACATTTAGTAATGTTAGTAAAGCAATCCAGAAATAACAAACCTACATGTTGTTGATAGTTTTTACATGTTTATACAATCCATTATGGCAAAATTGGGGATGGTTTTCTATGGCTTTACTAACATTAAGTCATTTACCTATTGAAGATGAGTTGCCAGGCCAACTTGTTAGAGGCTAAAAGCATGTTTAACAAGGCCCTCAGAGGTAGAACGTGTTGAGAAAACACTCGCCGAATCTCTCCTAGAGATTTATGTAATGGAGGCAAATCAATGGTGTGTTTATATTAGTGTTTGTATAATGTCTATAATGTCATACAATACTGTATACAGTATATATGGCATATTCCATATGTGTATTATACAGTATATATGT